CTGCGCAGACCCAGATGTTGGCGTCGGCAGCTTATTGTACAGGATCCATAGCTGCCATGTGTCAGTCCCAGGTTCCTGCGTGTTTGTTTTCGGATGCGGGGCTTACCAGGTCGTTGACCGTGGATGCGCCCACGGTGTTGATGATGTGGAGCAACAGCTGCAGGGTGAAGACAACCAGGAGGAGAGACGGCATGTTGAGGGATGGGGACCAGTATCGCGGTGCAGCGTGTTCTCACTGCATCGTGTTGAAGTCAAGGGTTATGTCATAATGGTGCCCAGGCGGTTTTGGGAGCTGCAAGCTAACGCGGTGGGGTCGTGCGCAAGGGTCCTCCTTCTGCGACAGCTGGGCAGCTTTCACTTTGAACCCACGAAATCAGATCTTCCGCCATGACGACCAAATGCAGGCAGCAAGAGGAATTCCAGAGGCTGGCTTTTGCTTCATTGAGCGAGTACTTCCAGGAGCATGCAGACGAAGTCATCGAGATCGAGATTCTACCTCCTGCTATACAGCCACCGGATGGCATCACAATGCAAGACGGAATGAGTCTGGGAGTGCCGAAGAAGATACTTGCGTTAGCCTACCTGGAAGCCCGCCAACATTTCTTCGTGCATAGCAAGGCACATGATCCTATCACGGCTGCACAGACATTGCAAGCGACAAAGGTCATGCTTCTATTCGACCCAGAGCATCTCACTGCAGCAAATTATCGAAAACGCACCTTGTTCCAGCTAAAAGAAGCTCACGGTCTTCATGTTGGCACTCCATACCATAGGGCATTACGACAAGAGCTGTGCTTTCTGAACAGCATACTTACCTCTCCACTTCATCGTCAGTCCAAGTCGCCGACCTTGTGGTACCACCGCTTCAGCATCGTGGACTCTTTGAGACTCATAGAACTGGGAGATGCATCGCAAGAACAAATAGTAACGTTTTGGGAGAGCGAATTCGCCGCTATTTACAAGTCTGGAGAGCAGCATCCGAAGAACTACCACGCTTGGCAGTATGCTCGTAGGCTGGTATCTAAGCTTGATAGCAGCGACATGGTTGACCATGTCGCCCACGGCGTCAAGGATTGGTGCTGCAGACACCCAAGCGATATCTCTGGTTGGTCGTTCCTGCTGTATCTGATGCCTATCGTAGCTACATCGCTACAGCGGGAGCTGGTAAGCGATATACTGATCTATGCAACAAGTCTCGACCTCGAACAAGAGTCACTTTGGATATTTATACGTACAGTATTGGCGCTGCGTAACGGGGAGCTTTCGGCGTCCTACCAGTTACTCGAATCCTATAGGGAAGACCTAAAGGATACCAACAGGCGACCAATAGCACTAGACCGTGTGTGTAACGCCATTGCTTGGATTCAAGCTCACCAAGAGTCCAGCGTGTGAACAAGACACTTCATCATTAAGCAGCAACTCCGATTTTCTACATCGACGCAATAGCTACAGCCATCACACCTTTTGCATCAACCCAGAATCGGGACAACGGACGCCTCACAACAGTCTTTCTAGGCGTCGTTTTCCCCTCAAATACTGCCGCGACGTGCTTTATCATATGGTCGAACGACAACCATACATCGCCGATGAAAGAGTTGCGCGCTGTGGTATCTGCTGTGGTATCTGGCGAAGATATCTCGGGTCGGCTAGTACATTCTCTCACGCCTGCCACCTCGAGATCCGGCTGAGGAGACTGGAGAACTCTGGAATGTTCATACGACTTCTTCGAGGCTCTTTTTGGAGCGGCGTCCCTCCCAACATCATCGCTCCGCGCGGCCTGTGTCGACGTGATTATGCGCTCAAGGCTCAGGTCTCCAGTAATACGTTTTGGCTCGTCCAGATTTTGACCTTTTGCCGAAATTGGTATTGTCAGACGTTGGGCAAGCCGGAAAGAGCGTGTGCTCGAGGTGTCCGGATTTGGGTAAACCAGGTTGTTCTCCTCCGCTCGTCTCGAGATTGCAACCACCGGGTGTCCGTTAGGTCCTTCAACGATGCCCTTCCGACGAACTGTTTTCATTTTTCGCACGCATGACCCTTCTTCTGCAGGCGACCAGAACATGCGTCCTTGAGCACGGCCTTCATGTGTCGGGCCGATTCGGACGTTTGGCATTGTGAGTGGAGATCCAAGGATTCAAGATTTGCTGGAAAGCTTGGTATATGTCGTACAAGAGGAAGGAAAGATTGCTATCACAAAAGACTGTACTACAAGGTTGGTGTCGATAGTGCTGGCGTTCCTACTTATAGCTGGTGCAACATATCTACTTCCCAAGCTAAGCCTCCGCTCACCCCGCAATGTCAGCCATATCGCCCCGACCCGTCGTACGTCGGGCAAATACTGGAGACTTTTTTCGGTCACCCAGCGACTATGCCCGCTATACGCGGTGGACTTGACACGTAGATGCTCGTGTCGTCCACTCAGCCGGTTGTCAATTATAGATGCAGACGTGGCGTTTGTGGCGGTGCACGCCAACGTGCAATGTGATAGGCTGAGCCGGGTTTAACATGGCTTTTTGAGCGAATTGCAGACATCGGATCCATTCATGTACCAATAAACGCCAGCTGATAAAAAGATATGGAAAGTCTAGTTACATCGCCAAATACCACTCGAGGAATAAGAGACTCAGCAAAATCGTTGTAATGTCGCGGCCTTCCACCAAACCAATCTCGATCTTCTTGCATGTCTTCCTTTCCCAGCCTCTACCACGCTGCTTCCTTGTACCAGTCATAGATCTCATCGATAGAGTAATGATAAGGATAACCTTCGTCATCAGGTTCAAGGACTTCTTCATCTGTCCGATCTGCCCTCCTGACAAGACCGCTGGAAGGGGTCTCAACCGGATTGGCTGCCTCGGGGGTGGGAGTGGGGGTTGATTGCGGGCTCGGCGTCGATTGCGGACTTTGTTCGTTGCGAAAGCTTTGCAAATGCTTGTTGCCAACTCCATTAGGCCAATACTCCCCCCTCGCCTCAATCTTGGGGGGCTTGCTTCTCTCTTCTGCAGTTAGCGTTCCAAGGTCCCTAAAAGGTACTTGAAGATAACTGATCTAGAGGGACTGTTAACCTAAACATCCATGAATTGGTATCTATGGGGTGGCTCTGGACTGACTTTTGTGATTTTCTTGTCTGCGGGTCGAGCATCATCGATCAGTGTCGGAAATTCAACCTGCCACCAAATTCCATCCACTGGAACTTTTTCTTTTTTTCCTTCGGGGCGAGTACCGCTCAGATCTGAATTGGTCATCAAGAAGACCTCGCCTTTGCACTCCATTGCCATGGCCTTCGACATTGACTTGAAGTATAGCCGTTGGCAACCATCGAAGTTCGCGTCGTAGTCCTGATCCCTCTGGTCCTGGTAGATGCACTTGGCCTCGGGAGTCTTGTCCAGGTCATTCTTGTTTGGATAGAACTTTGGCGGATGTAGCTCCTGTGAGTAGTTAGCATTCTCGCGTGGTTGTACTCTACCTAGCGAGACGTACCCAGATAGTTTGGTACTTGCGCGGTCCTTCCGCAGCCCCCGTCAAAAGTACCTCCTTCAGAACAAAATTGGCCAGCCTTTCTGCCGCTCCCGTGAGTTTCGAGGTGTAGAAAAGGCAGGGCACCTCGCATTCGTTGGCCTCGGGCTTTCGGTTTGCGATGAATTTCTAGGTAGCTTAGTCATTGGATTAAAAAGATTCAGAGGGTAAAACTACTCACATCAACTGTGACATCTGCCATCTTCCAGCAACTACCGGTGTTGGGGCCCTCCAGCGTGCCACGACACGTCTCATCAGGTACTCCAAATTGGGGTCCCAGAGGATTGGAGAAGATAGCTGCTTCGATCTCTCTTTTCGCCAGATCCCATGGTGTAAATGCGGGCCTGTCATCGACAGGGAAAGATGTGGACAGCCGGATGTAAGTCCAGCACAGGATAGTGAGCCATGTGGTCTTCATGTCGTGGTAGCGATGGCAGGATGAAAATATACGCAGTAACGTAAGGATTGACGCAGTCCAGGCGACAAGTGTTGATTCAGTGTACGTTTACCCAATGCTGATAGGAGTTGAGAGAAGATATACCTAGTTCTCAGCAAGGATTTCAGCGAGACTTGTGTCGATATCTTTGGCCACGGTATCTTGATAGTACAGGAACTCCAGTTTGACTATCTGCCTTGCAATCGCGCGTTGAAACAAAGGCAGGCATGTGTCCCGTGGCACATGGCCACATCTCAAGAAGATTCAACACATCCTACCTACCTAGGGAGGTATCGCAAAGCCCTACAGCCCCCAATGCTCACCAAGAGACGCGACCTTGAGGCGTCACACACATAATTCTTGAAATATCGGGATTCGGGGTTGAAACAGCCCTCCCGAGGTCTTCTGTCTCCCTAAATCCTTGCGCGCGCGACGCCTTCTCCGTGCATCGGGTAGTAACATAGATAGAACGTCAATGCCCTGAGTCCGCCTGGGCTAATTAGGTACCTCCAAGGTTGGAATGCGCCACCCTTGGCATGTTAGGCAACATCAAGCCGATGTCAAATAAGCGCTTGTAGGTGTACACCGCTAGCTATGAATCCACTAGCGTCACTGTGCCACCCTCAGGTTAATATCCGCCCGCACACCTCTCAAAATCATCAACTGTAGAAGCCCGGAGTACACGTCTGCGCTCAAAGTACACAGATCTTCGTCGCTCTCTTTCCCGCCCTCTTTCCCACCTTCTGGATCCGACCAGCCTTGAATTTGTTTCACTTCCAAGGTTTGCGTTTCTCACATACCTAGGCATCATAGTGAGCCTTATCGCTGATAACGATCGCAATGTCAACGACTCTCTCCAGCTTTGGCGAAGCGCGCGATGCGAGATTGAGTGGCGAGAGAACGTTGGAAGAATGTTTGCGGCACATTGTGGCCTACTACAAGCTTCCCAAATCTACGGTAGAGTCTGCCGACAAAAAGGCATGGAATCTGAGGGGCTTCGAGAGAGAAGTACGAGATCTACTGCTCAGCGAGAACTATGAGCCGCCCACAGACGATGGTAAGTGTGATCAAAATGCAGAATGACCGGCTGTGGGTCTCACTGCTTACACGAGTTCGTAGATACAACCATCATCCTTTCGATCTTCCTGAGTGCATTTCAAGGCGACATTCCTGCCATCAGAGAACTTCTTGAATCTTCTGGCATAGACCCAATATACTATTCCCGTCCTCTCATGAAAATCTCATCAGAAATACGCGACACCCAGCTACTCCGTTTCTGCTTCGAGATCGGCTTTTCGCCCAACTACTTCGACTCCTACACCTTTTGCGGCTGGTATGGGAAAAACGGTGTGGAATGGCTCGATATCTTGTTCGACCTGGACTTTTGCCAATGGCGCACAGACCCACAGCAGTTAAACTACAATTCAACTACGCATAATTCAACCTGGTGTGGTATGGTTCGCATGGGACCTGACGCCACTCGCTGGTGGATAGACCATGGAGGAAGTGTGAGCAGGTTCCGAGGAATGTTTTTTGCACCCTTTGAAAAGCCATGGCCGAAGGCTGCGTCAATTCGAGTCCTGTTGGACAGATTCGGAATCGACTGGTTCAAGGACTCGGGGACGCTGCAGCTAGCAGTCAAGAAGCACGACATGGAAACTGTGAAGATGTTGCTAGAAGCGGGTGCAGATGTCAACGAAGATGTCACTGACTGGAACACGGACATCCGTGAGCATCGAGCCGCCCCATTACGAGCACTAGCGACGGCTATGTACGATAAATCTGATGACATGATCCGATACCTTGCAGAGCATGGGGCAAAAGTCCCGCGACATTATGTCGAAGACCTACACAGCTGGATGCCAGAGGAGTTCAAGCCCTTCATGAGGTTAGTGGTAGAGCTGGGTGCTGTGGAAGAGTAGGCATTTTTCTTTTCCTACGCGTTTGCAAATTACATGGTAGTTACACTGTACCTAGTCATTGATTTCAAACCAGCTATTGATTTGGTTACTTGTTCCTGTCATTGAACTTCGGAGCGGTCAAGTAGTTGGCCAATTCCCGCTTTCGATTCCGCTTCTCCATTCTGGCGAATAAGAGATATGCTAGGTAGCACAACACCCTGGGGCCGTATTGGTATACGCTTGTCTCATCGACCAAATTGGCAGCATGGATTCTGCAGACGCTCAAACGTCCTGTTCCGAATGTATCGGATGCATTATGAGGCACTGTCGTCGAAAGGCGATTGCTCAGTATTGAATAAAGGCCAAAATTGGTCAGCATATATGAGGAGCCGCCGACACTCGGTCTTCAGTAAGACCAAGAAGAGGTCAGCCTTACGTTTCGGATGATGATACGAAACTTCCCACTGCATGCATGAAGATGTCATAAGAAGCTGAGGCATAGGCTTCCAGGATCCCCGACAAAAGCACAGAATGGGGGCGATAGAGTGGCACGGAGTCATTCCACGATCCTAGGACTATACGTAGTACCTCCCGGGGTCAAGATTTGTAATTGCTGATATAAATGCGGCACAGGCTATCTGCGTAGAATGTTTCCAATGCATGTATGGAGATCTCGTAAGAAGCCAAGACGTGAAGTTTCGAAACACTCTGACGCAAGAGTAAGACGGCGGCCGTGCCGCTGCGGGAGAGCCACGGGGCCAGCCCCCGGTTATGAAAAGTGCCCCCACGGGCCAAATGCTTGAGCTGAAGGCGGTGCGGTATCCTCGGATACTCATTTCCGATCCAAACCCCACATTACTTGCATACTGAGGAGTTACAGGGATGCTCTCAAATAGATGCCATGTCCAACTACTTGCCAAATTTAACCACATGAGCGCTACGAGCCACGCGATGTTACCCATGCCTTTTGTCCTGGGGCTACAAACGTACCTTGAGATCCTTCAAGAATCTTCACAGCCCAGATCTACTCCTGAGCAGGCATCAAACGCAATCCACCGCTCATCCTCACTGTAAAGATCGTTGCAATCAAAGACGACTCTTACACCTCTTTCACATACACAGTCTCTATGAACATGAAGGCATTCTTCCTCCTCCAGCACTTGGTCTGCATAGCCAACGCTTATCGCCTCCATCACTAGCAAGTCATCGCCTTCCATAATCCATATGTGTGACAACTACTGACTTTTGGCGTTGGCGTATAGTCAATCTGCGGGCTGCCGCGGTGCCAACCTTGGCTGGCGAGATGTCGATGCCAGCACTGGCTGCAACCGCGACAACGCTGGGGTAGCTGCAGCCATCATTATCGAACACAATGAAACTGAACAAGCCGGAGGTGAAGGTGACAAAGATTTTGGCTCCGTTGTCGTCCTCTTCAATGGCGACGACTGCAAGCCCTCGGATATCTTGGCGTATGGCGACGATGGCTGCCTCGTGGGGAACTATGGAAGTTATGAAGTCTGGGACTTGTGGTCGGTCGATGGCATGGAAGCTCCGGAGCTGAAGTGAATGAAATCGCGATTGTTTGCTTAGATTGAGTTTGAAGGGTGTTTGTTTAGTTCAGCTGGCAATCCACATGTATCAGTTTCTGCGCGATATGATTTCCGCAAGCTTGATCATGAAGTCTAAACGCCAGATGGTTATAGCCGCAAATGTAGCGATATGATTAGACGCTTTGCTTCGTGTAATGATCTTTCGCTTCAATGTAACGCTCCATATCAAACTATACGCTGATGAACTCTTAGTGACCGAGAGCTCCTTGTTCATGTATTTAGTCTAGCAAGACTTCCCCACCGTGATTAGACGGTGAATCTAATGTCTTTCGCATCGGCAACCAAACAAGCAAAGAAGTCCTCCTTGATCGACTGTACGTAGGTAAGCATATGGCGCTCGATATAGCAAGTTCGAAATTCCGAGACTGCCCAGGTGTCAGACTGCACCTTTTGGTTTCGAAAATATGTATGTAAGATGGGGCCTGAAGCAGGCCGAGAAGTTTGGTTGCACAGCGGGGCCATAGAGGTCCCGGTCAGGTTACGTGGGTTGGGGGCTATAGGCAGCTTCCACCCCACAGGTTCTTACACAGGGCAGAATCCGTGCCTCGTGAAGGCAGTGTTCGTTGTGTTGGGCTCACCCGCCCCAGCGTCGCTTTCGTGGCAGTGTGCATCATGTGGCAGGATGTCTGAGTAGAGAGTAGAGTGGCCTCGCCAACGGTTGAGGCAACGTATCGCGTGCGAAGAATTGAGCCGTCCGATGCAGTCCCATACCTCTCATATGATCAATTGTAGGATACGCCACGTATCTTAACTGTTTCGTCACTCAAATTAGATTAGCCCTGCGCAAGCAGTCACCGAATCAGAAATGTTGGCAGCTTACCTAGGTACATTGATAAGAAAGCCATCGACGTGAGTCCTTCTCAGTTCACATCAAAATCTACCTTTACACTACTGCTAGCTTCTTGCCAATCCCTCATCATGCATGTTGCAAAGACCATCAAAGCACTGTTCCTCTTAACGAATCATTTGATCGCCGCGTATACCCCCAGCGAAACCACTTTACCTTCGCAACGTGTCCACAGGGGTACGGCATCCGATCTCGATATCTCACAGCCAGAATCCGTGCTCGGCCGCGAAGCTCGATTTCCCTTAGTTGACAGACAAGCGGGAGATGGAGAGAGCTGTGAAAGAAAGGCTCGATGCAAGAAGAACAGGATTCGAGACCCGTCCGACCCGACCAAATGCATCAAGTGCCCACCGCTCATGAAGTCGGATCCCACGAAGACAGTATGTATCAGAGACAAAGATGTGAGTGAGGAGGACAAGAAGAAAACCTACAAAGACAAGATCAAGGAGAAGATCAAGGAGAAGTTTGAGAAGTTCAAGGACATGATCAAAGAGCGCCTGGAGAAAAAGAAAGAAGAAAAGAACACGGAGTGGGACGAAAAAGACAAACAGAGACGATCTGAAAGAAACCAGAAGAAGTTTCGCCGTATGGCTGTATGTCTTCCTCTTACTGCCGCTGCCATTGGTACGGAGGCCATGCTTGAGATGGCTGACGGCGGCTTCTCATTGGACTTGCTGGACAGCATCAACGGGGATATGCTTGAAGTATGGCCTGGTTCTGATATCGACGACGATTGGCTGGACAACGCATTGCCTGACGATGAGAGCGATATCGTTCAAGAAGACTTTGCGAAAGGATTTCTGGAGGTTGGCGACGCGGCTGCTGAGAATGCAAAGCGATCTATGGAGAAAAGAGACGGCACCACCGACATCAACTCCACCGACATCAACTCCACCAACATCAACTCCACCAACATCAACTTCACCAACATCAACTCCACTTCACCGCAAGAAAGCCCATCTACTGAAAAACGAAACTTTATCAACGCCATTGCCAACCTGTTCAGGTCGGCTGTCGATGCTGTTATATCCGTGGCTAAGGCAATTTCCAGAACGGTCGGAGCAGCTGCCCGTGCTACGAAATTCTTCTCCAATGGTCGAAAACCAAATTTGAAGCAGCCAGGTGAGTCGAAGTGGTCTCGTGCACAGCAGTTAGACAAGGCCAAAGAAATATCAAAGAACAAGAATTGGACAAGATGCCTTCGAGGTGAGAAGGCTGAGAAGTAAAGACAGCACGCTTCGATTCTCAGTTCCCAGTGGCACCACACCGATTGGATGATACAGCGCATTCCTTTGTCTTAGTTCACTAGCTGTAAAACATTTTCGTTATCTGTATTTAGAGTCATGAGACGTTGACTAGAGAGAAGAGAAGTATATGTTAAAGATATCGCTGCCTCCACGATCTTTCCGGTGCTATCATATGGTCCAAGAATAACAACCACGACCTTCTTGCGGTTGAGGACCTCTGACGTACATAGGCAAGAGCATTGGCTTGTATCCATTGTCGGAAGAGTATCATGGTACAGAAGGCAAAGCCCAGACTGGAAATAGCTGAAATAAGAGCGTACGAAAGCATGCACCACAATTCACTCTACTGCCGCGAAAGACGACCTTGAAGTCCTGAGAACCCGCGTATTTCTTCGTCATATATGGGCCGCTTCAGCTCTTAGTAAGCCTTTACCGCAGCTAGTTGCAGAATCCTATCCGTAACAATCGGCTTCTCTAGTGGTTCCGTTCTATTCTGCGGATCAGGCTTGCCATCTCTCTCTGGCGGGCCCTGTTTGCGGATATTGCAGTGCGGCCAGTGTGTCGTACCCTGCCACGTCTTGAAGAGCTCGGCTTTGAGTTCGAGATCCTCTTTCTTCGCGAACTTGGCGGGCGTCATGCAGACATACTGGACATGACGGATGCGGTTGCCTTGAGGAAAGCAGGCGTAGTGCATGGTGCGAGAATCCCTGCGCGATATTAACTCAGGTACCAAATAGGGGAGGAAAGATAGTAAGAACATACCACAGTACCAGATCACCAGCTTCAAGGTTCACCTTCTCGAGTGTGCATCCGCGGTCTTTGAACCACTGGACATCCTCGTCCTTGAAGATGAAAAGATCCTTGAAGTCCTCCTCCTCCGGGGGCTTATCCTCATGGTTGTCCTGTTCCCTCTTCTCGCGGAAGAACTCATCATACAGCTTGCTGCTACCCTTCATCAAGATCAGACCACCATCATCAGAGCCGTTGGGTTGGTAGTTCAACAGGCCTTGGACACACTGCATGCCCTTGCGGTGAGGCGACTGATCGCAGTGCGGCCAGGGGCTCCACTTGAGATCTTTCTGGCGCGGCAGTGTGATGTTCATGCCGTCGAATGAGCAGAGGAGCTCCTCGGTGCCCCAAAGTTTGGAGAAGGTTTCGATGACCTTGGGCTCGGTGCGAGCTTCCCTGAGTCTGCATCAGTATGTTGCAAACATCGCATTCCATTGACAACTTACCAAACGAATTTCTCGTGTGTGCTAGAGTAGGCAAAGTACATCCCGCCCTTGAAGCTCACAGGAAGGTGCTCTTGTGTCCATG